TATTCACTTCATCCAGCGTTTCTGTGGACAAGTTTAAAGCATTCAGCAGAATCTGCCAAAATACTGTAGAAGCTTTACCATTTGAAATGTTAAAAGCTTTAGGGTTAGAACATTTGTAAGTGAAGAATTTAAGGCATAAATATTAGTATTAAAACATTACATTTATTTTAAATAATTATATTAAAAAGAGATTTAAAATATTTAAAAAACAAATTACAATTGTAATTTACAAGAGTAAATATTTTCTGTTTTTGTAATTGGTATAACAACAACTACTACTAATATTAATAATAATAATAATATCATTCCTCAATATATCACTAAATAATTACACTTTTTTAAAATAAATGAATTGTTTTAAATAAAAACAACAAAAATAAATCACTTGCTGAAAAAGATTCAATATTTTATGTTTACTTGCATATCATGTACAAACATCAGAGAACCGTGAACACAATAACTTAAAAAGTGACACAATAACACAAAAAGTTCAAATATGGCCTTTAGGGACTTTCCTTTAGGGCTTTGATATTTGACTCGATTCTTAAATTGCTTATGTTTAATTAACTTAAAAGATCCTGAATTATCATACACTCGTTGAAGCAAAGGAAATGACTTTGATGGAGGCGTGACTTTATAATTCCAAGTATTATTAAATCTTTTATAATTCATTTAATATTATCTTTATTAATAATGTTATTAATGTTTCATTAAAATGATATTAACATGCATTGACAGTTAAGGGCCTGGTTTCACAGACAGGGTTTAGATTAAGCCAGGATTAGGCATTTGTTTTGTCTCAAGTTGCACACCAGTAATGTATTTTCTAAGTTATGTTTATTCAAGCTGAACTATGGCTCAATGAGTTAGTTTACTTTTACTGTCTTTTGATTGGGATTTTCAACATTAATGAACTTTAAACAAAAGTATAAATCCGTATTTAAATAAATATGTGGGAATGGCTGTATATTGTTGCTGTAATTCTTGCTTTCTGTAACTCAGACAGTAGCGTGTGATGCCAGGTTTGGGTTTGATCCAGAGGGAGTGTATACCTCGAATACAACATAAACCACAAATGAAGTCACCATGAATTGATAAAAAATGTACAATTCTGGACCATTGCAGTTTTTATTATAAATGATTTGTGTTAAATTAATGTCCCTCATAATCTTGACTCTTAATAATTCATCTCTTCTGCTGTTCACTCTGTACATGCTACCCTTGGAAGATATCATTAGGAAGCATAGCATTAGTTTTCTATAACTCTTCGCGCCCTGACGAAACTTGCCAATTCAAAAAATAACGGAATGCATAGCTGATATAAAAATTGGATGACTAGTAATTTCCTACTACTTCTTATTAGGATTCTAATCATTGGACAAAAAATTTCCTCACGTAATAACCTGTCTAACACTTGATGGCTGCTCTGTCAAGTCTTCGAGTCTTCGTCGTCGGTTAGGAACCTGGGTGTGCTCTTTGATACCAATCTTTCATTTGAAAGCCACGTTTCTAGCATCTGTAAAACCGCATTCTTACATCTTAAAAATATATCTAAATTACGTCATATGCTCTCAATTAAAACTGCAGAACAATTAGTTCATGCGTTCATGACCTCAAGGCTAGATTATTGTAATGCTCTACTGGGTGGTTGCCCTGCACGCTTAATAAACAAACTACAGCTGGTCCAAAACGCAGCAGCTCGAGTTCTTACCAGAACCAGGAAATGTGACCATATTAGCCCAGTTCTGTCAACACTGCATTGGCTTCCTATTAAATATACATTGTATACATTTTTTAATATTTCTGATTACTTACAAAGCACTAAATGGCTTAGCTCCGCAGTACTTGAGTGAGCTCTTAACGCATTATAGTCCTTCACGTCTATTGCAATCTCAAATTCCCGGCCAGTTGATAATACCTAGAATATCAAAATCGACTGCTGGTGGGAGATCCTTTTCCTATTTAGCACCAAAACTTTGGAACAGTCTCGCTAACATTGTCCGGGAAGCAGGAAGTCAGTTTAAATCTAGACCAAAAACACATCTCTTTGACCTAGCATACACATAGAAAATGATACATTCCTATTATTCAAATCAGTTAAATGATTATTTGGCTGCATAGATTATTCATCATAAGAAGATTGGCATCTACACTAATTTTAGTCTTTCTGTTTATATCCGGGCTGTATCCAGACCAGATGGAGGACCTGAGCCTAGACACGACAACAACGCATGATGTAGTCAGCCGGATCCGGGCCGTATCCAGACCAGATGGTGGACCTGAGCATAGACACGGCAACAACGCATGATGTAGTCAGCCGGATCCGGGCCGTATCCAGACCAGATGGAGGACCTGAGCCTAGACACGACAACAACGCATGATGTAGTCAGCCGGATCCGGGCCGTATCCAGAACAGATGGAGGACCTGTGCCTAGACACGACCACAACGCATGATGTAGTCAGCCGGATCCGGGCCGTATCCAGAACAGATGGAGGACCTGTGCCTAGACACGACCACAACGCACCCCTGAAGTGTCAGCAGAGATTGTGTCTACTAGACTCTCCCCTGTGAAGGCCTCTTCGACACGACTGCCATCGGCACTGATCCTCAACAAACCCGTCTCCATACCGACGTGACTCCGATCTTAAACCAGAGGGAACTGGATAATATTCTGATTGTTCCAATCCAATCTGACTTCTGACCTGTAATGCTGCCGGAATCATAAATCACACACTGTTCGTTCATTGGCCAGAGGAGAACTGAACGACTGAGCCTCTGGGTACTCCCAAGGTTTTTTCTCCATTCTGTCACTGATGGGAGTTTTGGTTCCTTGCCACTGTCGCTTTTTCCACCTTTATTGCCATTGGCTTGGCTTGCTTAGTTGGGGACATTAAATTTTACATTTAATTTAATATTCAACAATAATATTGATTTGCCTGCATTGACACCATTATATGAGAACTGAACTAAGCAGAACTAAATTAATAACTTTTTACAACAAAAATGAAACATCACTGACGCTATGTGACTGTGACGCCATGTTCTTCTGGAAACAAACTTTGTTGCATTATTTTCCTGTTATCTCTGTAAAGCTGCTTTGAAACACTCTGTATTGTAAAAAAACGCTATATAAATAAATGTGACTTGACTTCTCTGATGACGAGGGTGGGGCCCTACATTTGTTCTGCATTGTTTCCCCGATATCCGTCACAGTAAGAGACGATTGCAACTTCCATTTCATCCCAAATGTAATGACTGCTATATTTCCAATGAATGCAGAGTTCTTGATAAGTTTGTCTTCAATAGATTAATCAGTCTGGATATTAAATCTTGAGATCTTAATATTCCGCTGTGTTAATGATTTCTCCAGTGTTTTGTGGTTTATCAGTGGAGTGTGTTCAGTCAGAGGGACCACCCATAGGGCTGATGTGTGTGTGGAATAATGATGAGTCCCTCTGGGAAACACTGGGATCCTTTCCTGTCTGTCCGATGGGACATTCCCATTCCATCAAACGCTTCGCTGCCACTGCAGGCAAATGCACTTCCTAAATCTTTATTACATTTGTGCAATTTAGCAAACTGGACAGTGGTTTAAACTGAATTGGTTAAACATTCTGTTACAGCATTTGATTTAAATCACTATCATACATGAGCCTCAGCCTGAAGTGACAAAAACAATTCACTTTTGAACATTTCACTTCCAGTTTACAATTTGATTTGGACATAAATGAATGCACGTTAAATGACACCAGTTTTGTTTTATTTGACACACACACACACACACACACACACTTTGTGTGTCTTCTAGAAAATATTACACAAAATGGGACACTGTGTAGTAGACCTACATAAAAAAAAGAATTGATATACATATAATTTTTATAAATGGGGATATAACCTAAAAGATTTTCACACAACGTAATGTTTTTAAATTGCTACTTTATATGCATTAGCTGATTTGTTTCTACTTGTTTTAAAATAAAAAGTTTTGTTTTTCGCCATTTTGATGTAAATTGCTTGGTATAAAACCATTTTGCACAAATACATTGGAGCTTTCATTCATGCTGTTAATCCAAAGTTTAACTGATGAACTGATGGAGGGACATGAATCTCAAGAATATTGCAGGCCACACAGATTTTTTCCTCCCATGTGGGACAGATCGGATATGACCAACGAACCTATATAAGCCTGGATTCAGATATTCTCTGATCGTTTTTAGGCCTCATTATATGTGGAAATAAATCTGATATGACTGGGATATGTGCATTGTAAGCGGACAGATCGGAGATTCCCGTCAATGTGAGTTGGGGAATGCTCTTTATTCCCCGCCTTCAGAGACCAATGCTTTTCTGGGTCAGTACGACTACCTTGGGTTGTTTCGACAGGTGTACAGTGTAAATGCAGATATCGGATCTGATATAGTCAACAAATCACAATTGTGCATCAAGACCTGCAGTGCAAATGCAGCCATATAGGCTCCCTACAGCAGCCTTTCAGAGCGAGCTAAAGGCAAGAATCCAGCTGTGTCTATCATGTCTTCACCATTTCTGTCATCAAACATATTGTTCTGCGGTTTATAGATGTGTTTTCTCGCTGTTGTTTAATTAGCTACGACACAGAGATGTGTGTCGCTTCACTGATCTCCTAATGACTGATGAAATCACCACTGCTGTTTTTACAGCCGAACGCTGGAGTTCCTGTTTTCCTTCTGATGAAAGATGAGCAGTGAAAGTCTGATCGCTTTATCAGCTGTCTTCAGCACAAGATCATACGCATCTCTCTTTTACTTTACATACGCCATTCTACATCATGTTTTATGTTAATAAAAGTTGAATCATTGCAAGTGTACTGAATTGTCTTGTTTCGTTTTCTTCTTCCTCTTTAATGTTGGATGAGTAGATCGCTGTGTTATAATGGTGTGTTAATGTCATAAACGTCCCACAAAAAGACATCAAGCTTGATTTAGGCTGTTTAAAAAAGACATTTTAAAACAAATGATATTTTCTATATCTTTCTTTTTATTGCAAATAATGATACAAAAGATAAGCTTCTTTTAAGACGGTGGCATGTTTTACAGTTTATTTGAATGAAATAAAGAACAAGGTAAAGAAAGAAATGCTGGTGTTTTCATAGAGATGTAGTCAACAGCCTGCAGAAGTTCCAGTTGTTTCTATGACAGGTTTGATCAAGTTTCACAATTATAATCGGCTCTCAACTAGATTATCAAAAGAACATTTTTAAAATTTAAAAATGGAAACATTAACAAATGATAAATAAATGAGATGGTTAAAGTTTGTACTACAACTAAATCATAATCATCTCTGGAAACATTTTATCACAAATTAGTCGTACAAAGCCGAAGTACATGATAGTATTACTTTCAAGTCAATCGAACACTAATGAATAAATTAAAGAGGTTAAGACTCCATGGCATCTGAAGGAATGTCAATCTGACCAATGGGGAGCTACGGAGGAGCCTCGGGTCAAAGGGCACTTCCTGTTTCTCCTCCACGATCTCTATAGGCACAGATGGATGAAGGCAGTTTTCACGGAAACACCAGCTCAAATATGGCAAATACGCTTAGGCACGGACTCTAGAAGCGTTCGAGTTCAGACTGTACATCTTTCCCCAGCTAACTTGCACATACTCAGCCCAATTTTTAAGAACCCCTCACAAATATATACAGAGGAAAATATCAGGCAAAAGCAGTCTTTACAAAAATATCATCAGTGAAGGAGGTCACAGACAGCTGCGTATAAATCCCCCAATCCAACAAAACTAAGGAAAAAAAAACACATACACAGTACATACTAAAATAATTATCTTGATCTGTCCTCACAGAGGATTTCTCTTCATTATATCTAGAAAAATATAATCACAACTCCAAGCAATGTAAAAAAGGCACAGTCGGGAGCCATTCCGTGAGTTTGAGTACTTTGAAAGATCTCCAGGGTTTCGAGCGAGGATCTCAGGAGAGTCTCTGGAGAGTCTCAGGAGGATCTCAGGAGAGTCTCAGGAGGGTCTCAGAAGGATCTCAGGAGAGTCTCAGAAGGGTCTCAGGAGGGTCTCAGGGCCGGGACAGCTGGGTGTAGACTGGTTGCTGCTGCTCCCAGTGCTGAGGGCTGTGTGGTGGAGGCACCGACGGGACGCCCACTGTGTCCGCAATGGGGGTGTATATGGGCCTCTGGCTGGGGCTCATGTAGCTGAAGGCGGGGTACTGGCTGTAGTAGGAGCTAGCGGGGCTCTGGTGCTCGTACTCGTACTGCGGGCGGGTGGTGGAGGGGTAGGGGGAGCTGTAGTGCTGCAGGTTGAAGGTGGCGTAGCTGGCGTGTTGTGGGGATCCCTCGCTGTAGTGGCCGGGACTCAGCTGCTCCGTCTTGATCTGAGTCCTTTGCTGGGGTGGCTCGCCACTCAGTGAGTGCTTGGACATCCAGGTGTGAGCCGATCCGGCCTGAGAGCCGAGCCCGTAGCTGGAGGAGTACGCCTGGCCACTGTTGGAGACCGGGATCCCGGGGTGTCCATGAGGAGGCAGGTACTGGTCGAACTCGTTGACATCGAACGGCTCCAAGTTGGAGATGACGTCGCTGCTCAGCTCGCCGATGTCTACGGCGCCGAAGTCAATGCCCTCCTGCAGAGGACGGCCTTCACGCTTCAAGTCCGCTTTGCTGGACGGCACGTCTGTTTTGGGGGTTGTGGGAGGTGTGGGGGGACCTTGGGACTGACCTGCTTTTCAAAACGGAGACAAGAAGAAATTTAAAAAGAAAGAAATGTAGAACCTGGCACACATTATGTTGCTGACGCAATCAGAAAGCTGATAAAGATACACAGCGACGTTAAGAAGGCCAGATAAGATTTATGAGTTTCCCTGCAGGCGTTACATAAGGTGCTGTAGTTTGCAAGGGTACAGGACTCCAGTAAAGTCAAGTCACCTTCATTTATACAGCGCTTTTAACTATATAGATTGTTTCAAAGCAGCTTTACAGTGATAATAGGAAATAAAAGTAACAGAGATTGTTTTGGCTTTACAGCAGCTCAAGAACAAAGTTGTTGTCTAGCTAAAGTTAGTCTTGATTGATTCACTTCCGTTGCAAAGATCATTAGTTATTATCTTAGGGGCCACTTACACGACACCATTTTGACTGCAAAAACAGAAAACTTTTTCTTAGGGCGATTAAGAAGTTGAAGTACCTGAGTGGTCTGCCGGGGAATGCACTTCGCCCATGCTGGACGCCGGAGAGTCGGCCTGCTGCAGGGCTTTGAATATGGCATTGGGAGAGATGTGCGTCTGCTCGCCGTCCTCGCCGTCGGTCTGGCCGTTCTTCACCGATTTTCTTCGCCTGGGCTGGTACTTGTAGTCGGGGTGGTCTTTCTTGTGCTGGACCCTGAGGCGCTCGGCCTCCTCCACAAATGGACGCTTCTCTCCTTCATTCAGTAGTCTGCAAACATCCATGAGAAATGATCAATAATCAGATTTACCCTCTCCAGTTAATAATAAAAAAACTAAGTGTTCTTTAAATTATTATTTATTTTTTACTAAATAATATGTAGCTTTAATGAAATAAACCCGAAAACTAGAAAATGAAGACATTTTATATCCAGAACAACATTGACAATTTTTTAAAACCAAAGATTTTTCCTATCAACACATTTGAACTTTTTCTACACTAATGTGCATGTAAAGTAAGGCTTAGTTTGCCTATTTACAGTTAAACTATCCTAAACATCCACATTTTCTCAAGTTTACCAGTATTGGTTTATTAGCAATATTTAGTTAATCTAATATTTAAAATGCAAATGCAAAGTTTTCCAGAGTTTGCCTGGGCTACTAAAATAAATAAGTATTGTTCTGACTTCTGGATTTCGTTAATTTCCAGAATAAAAAAAAATAAAAAAATGAAATGCAATGAAGTAAACTGCTTCTGTTACCTCCAGAGCTTCCCGAGTGTTTTGCTGAGCTCGGCGTTGTGTAGGTGCGGGTACTGATCCGCCAGCTTCCTGCGCGCGGCTTGAGCCCAGACCATGAACGCGTTCATGGGTCTCTTCACGTGCGGTTTGCTCTTGCTGGAGCCGTTGACTCGGACAGGCATGGGCACCAGGGTCCAGTCGTACCCCTTCAGAACCTGAGACACCGCGTCTCTAATGCACACGGGAAACTTGTCCTCCTCGTCTTTCTTAAACTCTCTCAGGTGCTGCTCTGCTCGGGTGCTCTCGCTGTCCGAGCCCGAGCCGGAGGGACACGGAGACCCGGCCGAGTCCTCGGACATGCTCGGGCTGGGCGCGTCGGACAGACTCTTGTCCTGCTCGTCGCTCATTTTCAGGTAGGAGTCGAAGAGATTCATGCAGAAGAGTGAAGAAAACTGTCGTGCAGCGGTAAAATCCTCCTGCAGGAGTTCAGACGAGTGTGTTGAACGCGCGCGCGCTCCTGCGCAAAAGTGTCCAAAGTTCCTCAGAACTGCTCAGATCTGCGGCTCGCGGGAAAACACACACATGCGGCACACGACATATATCACTGAGATGAGGACGACAAATCCTGCCTGAGGGTGTTAGTGTGTCGAGATATGGAGAGGTTCTGCTCCCTCTCTCTCCAAATCACATCACTTATATATGGATGAATGGAGGCGGAGCAGAACACGATCTCTCTCTCTCTCTCGCTCTCTCTCTCTCTCTCTCTCTCTCTCTCTCTCTCTCTCTCACACACACACACACACACACACACACACACACACACACACACACACACACACACACACACACACACACACACACACACACACACACACACAAACAAACAACTAAGACTCAGAGAATAAGAAAAAAGATCAACATGACACTATAGATTGAAAATATAAACTCTACAACAACCTGCTGCTCTCCTGGTTTCTTGAGTATTTAGTCTACACCATAATAATGCATAAACGTATATATGTGGTTAAAGCTAAGTGAACTGGTTTTATTCAAAACTAAAAATACTTGTTTATACACCAAAGAAAATAATTTTGACCAGCTGGTACAAATAACAAACTGCACATGTATGTTTATAGTAGTATATACAGCCTAATGTGCTTGTATGTTTCTTTTATTATGTCGAAAGTATAAACTTCACCTGAAGATTCTGTTTTCCATCTGAAGTCAGTTTTCTGCAGTTCTCCATTTAGTACATCTAAATGCCAAATGAGTTCATAAGTGTAGTTGAGTGTGTGTGTGTGTGTGTGTGTGTGTGTGTGTGTGTGTGTGTGTGTGTGCGTGGGTGTGTGTGTGTGTTGAATGAATAGCAGTCACAGTTTGTTCGTTGTGTGACCGATAGGGGGCGATATGAGTTCAGGGACTCAAGCCTTCATTCATCATCAGTAGCACAGCCTACAAACTGCTGGACTCCCTTTACCTCACACCACACAATGAACTTCGCTGAAAATGGCTTTTATCATGATCACAATTATTATTATTTTTAAATCTCATCACAGCGATAATTACGGGAGCTCGAGCACCTCTACAAAAATGTAATAGGCTTTGCATCTACAAAAGCCTAAACAGCATTGTTTGGGCTTGTTGTCACATGTTAATGATGGAAATGTTCAATGGCTTTTTATAGACAAGACTTTAAAGGTATGTCTATAACAGACATTGACTTAAAAAAAATCACAGTAATAAAAAGTGCATTGTAGAATCTCTCAAAACTAAACACCAATACTTTATTTTTATTAAACTGTTTTATTTTAATTTGATTATTGAGGTGACTTTAAACCACCTCTTGCAAACTTTACTTTAAACTGAATATATTAGTATTCTTTAAGCTAATTTGTTGCATTGAAAACAAATAAGTAAATAAAAAAACATTTACAAGTGAATGTTTTTATTAAAGTTAAAAAATTAAATACATTTTTTTTAAAGAACAAAAAAATTATTTATATTAACTGTACAGTTTATTTATTGCTTGATTGTATGGTTTTCTTTTATTTCTGCATTTTAAAAATTTTTGTTTACTTGTTACTCTCATTGCTTTGATTTTGCATTCCTCATTGCTTATGTATATTTCAGCCTTTTGCATTAAAAAAACAATTATAAACATTATTATATTACAAACAGTATTTCATTAGCTGTGAAACTTTCAGCGCTGAAGATCTTTCACTTACAGTACCTGAACGTGTGTCTGTCTGTTTCTATACTTTACTCATTATGAATTACTTTCATTGAAATGCTCTCAGTATTTTCTATCTATAAGTTCAAATCAACAGTACAACAGCAACAACAATATACTAAATCTTTGGTAGTAGGGTAAAATAGAAACTGCTCAGTTACTCTCTGTCTCTCTGTGTTTATTTGTGCAAGTAATGTTGTGGAAATGTAATTTTGGGCAGAACGTGGGCTACACATGTGTTCCTCATGAGCTACCTGAAATATCATGTTTAATAGATCACAGATGTGTGTCTGCCCTCTCTGTATCGCCGAATTACCACAATTACCTGATGAGAAAAGCGGGATTTTCACCTATTATAAAATGGGCAAATTATCTACACTACTGTTCAAAAGTTCAGTATCTGTGTAATTTCTGTGTGTTTTTTGTAAGTCTCTTACTCTCACCTAGATGCATTTATTTCAAAGACACCATTTATATGAGCGAATACAGTAAAAACAGTAATACTGTTCAATATTAAGTAGCTGTTGGTGTAGCGGTTGAGTTCTGGCGTGGGTGTTTGTGTGGTATCAGCCGGTGGAACTGATACAGCGTTCCTCCTCGTTCTGCCCTGAGCATTGAGCACCGCTCCTCACACACACCGCTCCTCACACACACTGCAGCGCTGGGAAACTTCTCAGCTTTATTTCGAGCCCCAGTGTTAAAAACTGGGAGACAAACAGTGAAAGTCAACTGCTAAATCATGTCCCCCACTCTCCTGTTCACGCTTGCAGATTCTGTGGCTGTCAGTGTGTGTGTGTGTGTGTATAGTGCTCATGCTTGTATTGTTCCTCCATGTACTTTTATAATGCGATGTTTGCGGACAACCCTAAGTGATGTTTTCAAACAGCGAGACACTCAAATGGTCATATTAATACTCCCCTGCTGTAAAACCAATGCATTCTCATATGTGACATATTTTGACATTTCGTCTACATCCAACGCACATGGCACCCTTTAGCGTCAATATGAGACGCAGATATATATGGGTAGGTTTAGGTCTGGGTTAGGGTTAGGGTTAGGGTTAGACCGCTAGGAGGCGCCTTCTGGCCCATATCTATCTGCGTCTCATATTGACGCTAAAGGGTGCCATGTGCGTTGGATGTAGACGAAATGTCAAAAGCGTCAGTATATGACGCCTTGGGATAAGAACGGGCTGGTAAAACACACAAGTCTGGATCGTGATAGTGTGTGGATCTCCATTCAGTTCTACCAGAAAGTCTCGGGAGATAAAATTATGTAACGAAGCATTCATTTATTGTTAGCCCAGCAAGCAATTATTTGTAAAGTTCTTTGGCGTAGGCCCCGTCCATAGATCGTAATCCGAGGGAAGCGGATCAGCATCTCCTGCCTGAAGACGAAGGCAGGGGCGTAGCCGACCCCCCAGGGAAGAATAGACGGGACCATCCTGGTGGTGGTGGTGGGGAGGGTGGGGAGGGTGGAGGGTGTTGTCGCATCGGCATCTGCGAACTCAAACATGTGTAAGTACAGATCTTTTATACGATAAGAATAAGGGCGTGATTGGATAAACTTGAAGGTAACAAGTGACGCAGTAATTAAGTCTTCCTGGCAGAACTTATGCTAAAGCTTTCATTGCTGTAATTGCAGATCTCCAGGGTACAATGATTAGCAAAGCAGAACTGCATAGTACTAGACGTAGTTAATTTACGAAACAATTCTTCAAAACAATTGAGTAGTTCTTCTTTCGTCATCGCGTAATGGCTTCACTGTGAAAATCTAGCGTCAAGGCTCTGCCGAAATACGGTTCAATGATCCCGAGGACTGCGTACTTGCAAACCTGTGGATCTCAGATCAGTTTACAGTATTACTCCAGAACTGTTGGGACAGGATCATTCAGCCTGATTTGCAAACTATTCAGAGCAGTTTATTACAAAGAGGCAAACCTAGACCGGGGGTGTATTCCAGAAAGCAAGGTTAACTTACCCTCACATGTATCCTCCGCGGTCTGGGTCGAGTTCAGTCAACCTGAGTTCAGTTTCAACTCAGAGTTAACGGAGACACACACACTCAACCGAGCGGCAAATCCAGGAGTGGAAACGGTCGCTAAGAAGCGTGATTTACATTCTTATAGCATATCGCCACCTAGTGGGTGGTTTTGTAATCTTTTCTATCCTTTAACCCTCTGGGGACCAGAAACGCGCCCGCGCGTTTTGCCGTTTTTTTTTCACATAGCAGAAAAATAGACTTAAAATACTCTGTTGATTTTGATCGTACATATAAGTGTTATACATCAATCGATCTTGTTAATTGTCTATTATTTTTCTGTATACTCACAATAAAAACAAAGTTTTGTGCTTTTTGTCAAATAAAGAAAAATAAACATGATGCGAGTTTTGCCTTCTCTCTGTCAGTGCAGTCCATTCTGAAACACGTCCGAAAAATTAACTCTAACTCTGCAAATACTTGTCATACAGGCACGAGAGATTTTTCTTTATGAAGCTTGAATTCTCTTCTTTTCAATGATGTAATTTATATAAAAAACAAATATTCTCAGTTTATGTAATCTGTACGAAAAGAGAGTGCTGTCAGATTTTTTTTCCCCAGCTCATTACACTTCATTACGCGTTAATCTGACACGCCCACGGAGGACGCGCGCTATTCAAACGCAAATGTTGAGGCAAGCCATGACAATGCCCACATCAGCCGTTCCACCGCGGCGGTAAAATTTGGGGTGTATTTTCTGCCTTTTACCGCCAAGAGGCGCTACAATCATAGACTCTGAAAAGTGTTTGTTTATTCTCTCTAATGCGTAATCTGCTGCCGCACCGCACTGATTCAGAGCGATTGAAAGCTGGTAGCAGATGAATTCAACAAGTGAAACGTATAGTTAAAATAATTCATAATCACAATACTGAAATTAGGCTACTGAAATGAAATTGAATAAATAATGAAAAAGTAAAACATTGCAATAAAAACATTTACAGACGTACAGACGATAGCTCAGTGGTTAACGAAACAACACGAGCTTCGAGGAGCTTCAATCGACTCGAGATCGAATCTCAATGTAGCATACATGTTGTTAACTGATGTTGGCCAACAGCGTTTATATTTAACCTTCTTGATGCTTAAATAGCTAACTGTTTATAACTGTTTACTTATTTAAAGTCAAGAGTTTTGTTTAATTATTATTACAACATAAATTTGCTACATTCCTGTAGAACCGCAGCCGCTGCACAAACGACAAAAACTGATGAAGGAAGATTGTCAGCCGATTGCATCAGAAAATGAAAATGAAGAAGCTCGTCTTTAGTCTGCTAAATTATTGTGTAATGTAAAAGAACACTAAAATTACTTAAGTTTGAAACCAAGTTCGAACATTTCAAGGTTTAAATAAAGTGTCGGGACAGTTTTTTTAATTTAAAACAGGGTTGCATCGGGTTTAGAGTTTATTTCTTT